TTTAGCCCAGTTGCCAAACCAGTCACTATTCGAATTTTGCTCACCTTGGCTGCTTCTCACAATTGGTTTCTAAATCAACTTGATGTTAGTAATGCCTTTCTCCATGGATTTCTCACTGAGGACGTATTTATGGAACAACCACCTGGTTTTGTTGCTCTAGATAGCTCCTCTTATGTTTGCAAATTGCATAAGTCCCTCTATGGTTTGAAACAAGCACCCAGGGCCTGGTATGACCAGCTATATACCTCTCTGCTATCTCTAGGATTTCAAGCCTCTCAATCTGACACTTCCCTTTTTATCCTCAAAGTGCCTCATTTGGTCTTGATTCTTGTCTATGTCGATGATATTATCATCACTGGTCCCTCTTCTGCAACTTGTCAAACAATCATTTCTAAACTTGGCACTCAATTTCCTATTAAGGACTTGGGACCCCTCCATTACTTTTTGGGCCTTGAAGTGCATCAAACTGATCATGGCATTTTCCTTTCTCAGCAAAAATATGCTTTGGATTTACTCTCCAAGGCCAAGATGGAGGGTGCTAAACCTTGTGTAACTCCTATAGGTTCCCTCAAGCTTGACCATACTGGTCCTTTGTTACAAAATCCTACAGAATACAGATCTTTGGCAGGTGCACTACAATATCTAACATGGACCCGACCAGATCTCTCCTTTGCTGTCAATCAGGTATGTCAATTCATGCACACTCCAAGGGAATCACATATGCAGGCTGTCAAAAGAATTCTTAGATACCTCAAGGGCACCGTTACAGATGGTCTGTGGTTCAAGAAAGGTCATTTGAATCTGGTTTCATACTCTGATGCTGACTGGGCCGGGTGCCACTTTGACAGACGATCTACTAGTGGGTATTGTGTGTTCTTTGGTCCAAATCTAATTAGTTGGAGTGCTAAGAAACAACCCACTGTTGCTAGATCCTCTACAGAGGCTGAATACAGATCATTAGCCATTACTGCTGCTGAGCTTACCTGGATATGCAAGGTACTCACTGATATCGGATTCTCCTTGCATTCTACACCTCTCTTATGGTGTGATAATATTTCCGCCATTTCTCTCGCTTCCAATCCTGTTTTTCATGCAAGGACCAAACATGTTGAATTAGACTACCACTACATCAGAGAACTCGTTCTCAGTAAGGCTCTCACCGTACGGTATGTCTGCAGTCAAGATCAAATAGCTGATATTCACACTAAAGCTCTTCCCAAGGAACGCTTTTTGCTCTTAAAGTCCAAGCTTTCTCTTCGGTCCCCTCCTCTCAGCTTGAGGGGGTGTAAAAGGACTAACATGCAACCCACCAAGGTTACCTCAACAGAAGACACGTGCAACCCATCTCATGATAGTTGTAAAGTTGGTTCAAACATATAAGCATGGTCTTGTCTATATATTAAGTTGTAAAGCTGTTGTCTTTGTCTTTTCTATTATTAGACTAGGTTAGTGCTTCAAGCATCCGTTTGCTTTCCACTATTATTTGTGTATAAATACTCTACACCTTTATTAATGACAAAACAGAACTTTCACATATTCTTTAGTTCCATCTTGAAACAAGCAGCTTCACATTAATAAAAGTCCCCAGTTATGGAGCAACGAGAGTCTTATCGGATGAAGAAAATTTTCATTTTGATTCTAATAAGAACACTAGCGATCTTGTAGTCCCACTTGAATTGAAATTGCATGAAGATTAGATGTTTTTATTACAATTAAATTGTAATAAATTGGATTTGTAGTAGGATTTTGTATCCTAATTTTAGTTGGAACCAAATTGTAGTTAGTGTCCAAGTTGTAGTTGGAGTTGAATTGTCGTCATATCGAAATTGGAGTTGGATGTGTAATAGGGCTCCATATCCTAATTGGATTTGGAGTAAAGTTGTAGTTGGTCTCCAAGTTGTAGTTGGAGCAAAATTAGAGTTGCATTAAAGTTGTAGTTGATGTAGACTTTCGAACATAAGGAAAGAATCCTTCTTTGACTAGGAAACACATTAGCCAACTTGCATGCATGGTTTGGGGTCGTTCCACCTTGTAGAAAATTCTAGAAAAAATATGGAACGTGTAGCTCTATCTCTTAGCTTTCCATGCATATATCTCATGTTACTTGAAAAAATCGGGAAAGGCCCCAAATCTTCAATCTCCCACATAAGCGTAGTTCTGACGAGATTGCAAGTTAGGTTGCTTGGCTGGATTTTCTAGAACAATTGGCGTCATGAAAATTTTTGAAAATTTAACACAATGATATTTCATGTCTTAAATTTCTCCTCCAATTGGTCTTGCGCTAAAATGCATCCAAAAAGTTGATAATATGTCAAAAACGTTCTAAATGTGTAGAAAAGCTATCAGTAGTTATAACAAGACTCTTGTGTGTGGTTTGGAAGGATTGTCGACCTCGATCTCAAAGAGGTAATTTTCTATTGAACCAAATTTACGCATCAACAGTTTGGCGCCATCTATGAGAATGGTTTGTAATTTTTTTATTGGCAATGGTGATAAGAGCCATGACGGCGCCAAACTGTTGATGCCTAAATTTGGTTCAACAGAAAATGAATTCTTCGAGATCAAGGTCGACAATCCTTCCAAACCAACTTGGCATGACCAAGTAAGTCGTCCTCTAGAATGAGCTCTAGTGCTTAGGGATTGCACTTGTAAATATAAATTGAGTAATAACATGCAATCAAGAGACACAAGAGATTTACGTGGTTCACCCATAATCGGGTTACGTCCATGGAATGTTAGGTATTTTCACTATTGAACGAAAAAGTACAAAGATACAAAGTGTTTGATCCTCACAACCCATATCGCAATTACTTCCATAGCACTCATATAATGAATAATAGGAGATATTGATATCGTAGGGTTGAGTTCTCGCGAGAGGATGCAAGAGAAAAGCCTCCTCGAACCCCTCTTAAGTTTGAGAGTTTCCTTTATATAATAACTTGGAGATAATCAAATCCTTGTAGAAGTAGGCTTCCTAATTAGCCTTAAATTAGAAGTCCATCTCTGAATAGAATTCCAATCCATATGAAGCTCGGCCCTAGGGTAATTATACCCACAAATAGATTAAGGCTCCGTTTGGTTCATGGGAAAGGAGGCTTGGGGATGGGAAATCAATTGCTTTCCCATGTTTGGTAAGTCCAAGCATGGGAAATGGTTGTCTGGCACATGGGAACGTAAGGGAGAAAGTGAAGCCCTTCTCCCAACATGTGTTTTGTTTTCCCTCCTCATGGGAAAGTTGGGAAAATAAGTCAACATTAAATGCACATTTTTCATGACTATTCTGTCCCCATTAACAATTTAGAATTACAATATATCATTAAATACGTTCTTTTTTTATTTGATTTAATATGGGTATAATTGGAAAATTATACAAACTTTATTTTCCATTCCTATTCAAAACAAACATGGGAAAGGAAAAAAAGTGATATCTCCCGGTTACTTTCCCGACATTACCAAATGTGGGAAATGAATCTTTCATTTCCCATCCCTTGGAAAATGACATGGGAAGTGATTTCCCCTCAAATCCGTTCCGTGAACCAAACGAGGTCTAATGATACATAGACAATTTAGATGTTCAATCAAGATGCAACCACCCAAACCTCAAATTCAAATTGAATTATTGGTTTATACTATACCAAATTAACTCACTCAAATCATAAAATTTTCATCACTAAACCTTTATTTTAGTGAGTCATTCATTCACTAAAATTTTCATCACTAGCTCCAAAACTTTGCAAAAACACTAGAAATCTCTCTCCCTCTCTCTCCCTAGCCGACGGCAACACCATTGCCGCTGACCTCTCCACTCTCATCTCTCCATATTTTCTCCACACAACTCCAGCCAACACACACGGCTCCGGCCACCCAGTTCTCACCCAAAAGAAATCTCCGTACCCTTTTTTAGCTATTGTTTCACCTAGATTCAATCGAACTAACTTAGGCATCGGAGAGACTTTGGCCAACACCCCTGGGTGTGGTCTATTTAATCTGGTCTTTTTTACAAGAATCGAGGAAGAGAGAGAGAGAATTTCAAAGGGCGAAGGATCTGAAGCGAATATTCTCTCGAGAGATTATTTGCACAAACATTTGGTGCTTTCATTGAGAGCACAAGTTATACTTAACACGTGCTCTTGAATCAAAGGAATATATTTCCTCCATCTTTTCGTTCAATCAAAGCCTTCCGAACAACCATGGACGAAAGCAAACAAACGCGAAGTAAGACTACCGTCATGGCTCAATCCGCAACAGCCCAAAGTCACTCATCTTGTGATCCCGAGATCGAAGTGGCGGCACCACTATCGCATGGCGCCACCGCCGCAAACTTGCAGCAAATCCTTGCTGCCATCACCACCGCTTTGCTACCCCACAGATTCGGCAACAATCTCCATCACGACCCCATGTGGCGTTGTCCCACCTCACAACCCCGTGGCTGAAACTTCCTTACAACTGCAAGGCTTAGTGTCCTAGACAACAGGGCGAAGAAAAGAGGATCGACGAATGTGCCGACAGGCAGTTTGAGAGGTCCCAAGAAGGTCGAGCAGGAGCAAGCAGACAAGGAGGAGGACAAGAACGTGATTAGCATGTTGGCATGCCATAGGCATCGGCAAGCCAAGCGCAAAGCAAATGAAGTCTCCAATCAAGATTGAGTTCAAGGACCAATGTGCGCAAGAGTCTAGGCTCGAGACTTGACATCTGTGCTTGCCTGGGCCTGCAAGGAAATGTTCATGAAAGGCTAGGCCCTCAGACAGGTCAACCTAACGACCCTTACAACGAGGTTCGTGAAGAAAGGCGCTCCACAACCCGTTCTTGAATCCCGTCAACATGTCACAGGGAATCCCTCACAAGCACAGTCCACCAATACGCCACCTAGGCGGGACAACCGAGGACGTCGAGAAGCTTGTGAATAACCGGCTTTGGGACCTCAGGATCGGAGGAATTTTCGAAGATGCTCTGCACAGGGAGGTAGACCAAGCAAACTCCTCACCTTTCACCGCCGAAATCGAGCAGGTTGCTCCCCCAAAACAGTTCTTAATGCCTTCTTTCACACACTTCAAAGAGTGTTATGATTCTCTATAAGGCCGAAGACACACTGATGTGCAAAGTGTTTCTCAGGACTTTGCGAGGGGTAACTCAAGACTGGTTCCATCCTTCATATTTTCATCATCAACATTGGTATTTCCATTACCATATGAATGGTCAAATGTGCTGCTTGGTTCCACAAAGAAATCTGACACATCCAAATGGGTGATATCCATTGGCTCAGTAAAATCATCAAAAATGTTGCTGAAATCGATGAAGTTTGTTTCTTTCTCTTTTCCCTTTTCCTTTAAATGATGTTTGATAAAGATTAACCCGGTGTTTCGCCATATGACAGGTATGAGACCAATGTCCTTTCATGCCACACCTATAGCAAGCCACATCACTTTTCTTTTCAGAATTAATTTGCACACTTTTCCCTTTTCCTTGTTTTTCTTCATTGTTATTCCACTTCTGGTAATATGGTGTACTTTTCTTATTTGAGGCATGATTGTGACCACCTCAGTTTCGAAAATTATAGTGACCACAACCACGGCCACGACCATAACTACGACCATGATTGCTTGCATTCGCTTCAGGAAATGATGCATTTGCATTTGCTTTAGGAAATGGTTTTGAGGCATGATTGTGACCACCTCGGTTTCAAAATTTATAGTGACCACGACCACGACCACAGCCACGACCATAACTACGACCACGACCACGACCATGATTGCTTGCATTCGCTTTAGGAAATGATGGATTTGCATTTGCTTTAGGAAATGGTTTTGAGCCAGTTGGGTGGGAATGATGGTTTTTCATCAGAAGCTCATTGTTTTGTTCAGCAACTAGTTCAACGATGAGAATGATTTGAGAACCGAAAAACCATTTTCTGAAAGCCATTCGAATTTGGAAGCACAAACGTTGAGGTACCAAATAGTAATACCAAACAATCCTCTAGTATTAGTTGTCTTGATATTTTCTTTTAGTGGTTAAACAATTTCATGGGTTTTTTGGTCCATGATCAATTACCTACATACATGGAGGACATGGAGGAATTTCATAAGTAACATGGAGGAATTTCATATGAAATGTCAAACACGAAAGGATATTTCCATGAACCAGGTCCTCTTACCTCACGCAGAGAAAATTACTCGGTAAATCGAAAGAGAGCAAATGACAATCTCCCTGTTAGATTCCCGGTTCATGACCCGTTCTTCAAACAAATTAGATATGCGCGAAATATATAGAAAAAAAGTACAATTTCAATTCGAGTCATATATTTAGGAAAGAGAAAAGATGCAAACTTTATTACTTTTAACTGTAAACATCAGTGATTGAAAAAATGGGGGAACTCTTAAATT